AAGCTTCCATTTTTCTGGTGCACTGTTTGTTTGTTTTTCTTCTTTGCTGATTTTGCATCCCAGGTATTCAGTTATAACTGCAGCTGTGCTGTCCATTAGTTGGTTTGTTTCTTGCAGTGAATTGGCGCTTATACTTGATATTGCAGTATTTGCATCTTTTAATGCTTGTGCTAGCTGTTTCTTTGGAACAAGCTTCAATGTAGGCAGCTTTATTCTGTTGTTTTTGTACTGTTCTAGATGCTCAATTATTCTTTGTTTCAATTCTTTTATTTCTTTAGTTAGAGGGTTTTGTTCTTCCTGAGGAAGAGATGCCTGGTTTCCAAATGAGAACAGTTGTATATCTCTGCTGGATTCCTTCACTGCCAACTCCCCCTGGTTTTCCTCTATATTCTGAATTTTTTTCTGATTTCTTTGCCCTGAGTAAACCTTTGCAATTTGTCCAATTCTGTTTCTGTGAATACTTTATTTCGTATTATAAATCGGCGTTGATCTGCTAGTCTCTGTTCTGTTATTTCTGATTCTGGATGTTGTTCTTTCCAGAACTGGTGCATTCATTTTAGATATCCTCTTCTTGTTGGACTTGATCTGTAGTAACAGATCATTATTTCTTTGTTTTCCATCACTGTGTATCTGCGACGGGTAAACACCTTTTCTTCCAGTAGTTCTACAGCTGCTGGCCCTGGTTGCTCAGCCAACAGTCCTGAGTCCTGTAACCCATTTTTCACCAGATATCCAGGAACTCCAATATCTAGCGCGGACCTTGTTAACCTGGGCGACATCCGAGCCGGTATGGCATTCTGTAATTTACGTCTCACCATATTTTTTTATGGGAGAGACACTCTTTGTCTGACTCCTCTGACTCCTCTGACGAGATCTATCCAGTATGGTTGAACATCTAGCATAGCTCAAGTCAAAATTGAGAAGACAGCAACAGAGAGTAAGTGCCGCCTATCCAAAGAAGCTGAAGAAAGAATGGACCACTTGGTAAGCTGTTGCAAGAAGATTGCACAGACTGACTACAAGCACCTGCAACATAACACCCAAGACTTAACAATTGTCGATAAGAAAGACCAAAATAGTCTGGATAATGGACGTGGCAGTGCCTGGAGACAGCAGAATAGACGAGAAAGAACTGGAGAAGATAACAAAATACAAAGACCTACAAATACAAGTAGAAGGACTGTGGCAAAAGCAAGCAAGAGTAGTACCAATAGTAATAGGCTCCTTGGGTGCAATTTCAAAACAACTGGAGCACCACTTGGACACCATTGGCATTGACAAATTCGCTATTAGTCAATTGCAAAAGGCAGCTTACTAGGAACTGCTTCCATCCTGCGACGATATCTGTAATACCATCAAACATCCACATCTGCCTATCCCAGGTCCTGGGTAAGGACTCGATAGGTAGACAAAATGCCAAATCCAGTCTGAACATCTGGCTGACTGTGCGATGATCCATAATAATAATAAGTTGGAAGGGACCTTGGAGATCATCTAGTCCAACCTCCTGCTCAAGCAGGAAACCCTATACCATTTTGGACAAATGGCTGTCCAGTCTCTTCTTAAAAACTTCCAGTTTTGGAGCATTCACCGCTTCTGGAGGCAGATTGTTCCACTGGTTAATTGTTCTAACTGTCAGGAAGTTTTTCCTTAGTTCTAGGTTGCTTCTCTCCTTGATTAGTTTCCATCTGTTGCTTCTTGTTCTGCCTTCAGGCACTTTAGAATGTAGTTTGACTCCCTCTTCTTTGTGTCAGCCCCTGAGATATTGGAACACTGCTATCATGTCTCCCCTCATTCTTCTCTTCATAAAACTAGACATACCCAATTCCAGCAACTGTTCCTTATATGTTTTAGCCTCCAGTCCCCTGATCATCTTTGTTGCTCTTCTCTGTACTCTTTCTAGAGTCTCAACATCTTTTTTACATCACGGTGACCAAAATTGGATGCAGTATTCCAAGTGTGGCCTTACTAAGGCATTGTAAAGTGATACTAACACTTCAAGTGATCTAGATTCTATCCCTCTGTTAATGCAGCCCAGCACTGTGTTGACCTTTTTGGCAGCTGCAGCACACTGCTGGCTCATATTTAAGTGATTGTCCACTAGGACTCTGAGGTCCCTCTCACAGTTACTATTATTGAGCAAGGTACCCCTATACTATACCTATACATTTGGTTTTTCTTGCCTAAATGTAGAACCTTACTTTTTTCACCGTTGAATTTCATTTTGTTAGATAGTGCCCAGTGTTGAAGTCTGTCCAGATCCTCTTGTATCCTAAGCCTGTCTTCTGGAGTGTTGGCTATTCCTGCCAGCTTGATCCCAATAAAATGTTTCTCTAAAGTGCAATCCAAGATATTGATCTCCCTCTTTCTTAAATAATTGTCATTCAAAATAATAGATGTATTACATCTTCTATTTCTGGAACTCCACAAATACAAGTATATTCATTGTAAGGAGTTTGGAAGATTCAACTCAATACTTGGAAGGTACATTTGTAGCAGCTGATGCCTTTCAGTGTGCCAGCCTTACTGAAGACGCCCTACTTTTCTCTATTTTAACCATCCTGGATTCTCTCTGCAGCATTTTTTTAGGTTTTTCTCAAGTGGCAAAAAAGACAGGCAGATGACAGTTCCCAATATAAAATGAAGAATGTTTTAAATGAAATTTGTTTGTTCTAATAGCATTTGGGCACTCTTATTAGTTTAACAAAGGGAAGGACGAGGGGTGACATGATAACAGTGTTTAAATATCTCAGGGGCTGCCCCAAAGAAGAGGGAGTCAAGCTCTTCTCCAAAGGACCTGATTGCAGGATGAGAAGCAACGGATGGAAACTAACTAACTAATTAACCAGTGGAACAACCTTCCTCCAGAAGCTGTGAATGCTCCAACACTGGAAGTGTTTAAGAAGAGATTGGACAGCCATTTGTCTGAAACGGTATAGGGTTTCCTGCCTGAGCAGTGGGTTGGACTAGATGACCTCCAAGGTCCCTTCCAATATCATCATCATCATCACTATTATTACTATTGTTATTATTTTCCATACCATTAATTTTAATAAAAATATTTATATACCCCAATTTTATAAATTGTATAAATTCCCAATTCTGCTCTGAGGGCAGCAGTTGAAGTCCTTTCATCCACCCTCAAGATCCTTCTCAGATATGTGATCTAATTTGTTCTAATAGTGATATAAATTAAATCCCAAAGTTCAGCTCAATATAAGTGCATAATAGTAACGGTGGTATTTTGTATTTAATAACTCAGTCTAAGGAAGCTGCATACCTATGAGGTTTTTTTTAAAAAAATTAACAGTGCATTCACTTGTGCCTTCTAAGTGAGCTCCTTTGATGTTGAGGGAGCCCAGATCCAGTCCCAGAGAAAATTCCCCCAGGTAAGGAAAGGTGTGAACTTGCTCTGTTGCCTCCTCATCGATTAGCCCTATAGGGCAATGCTGTCATTTTCCAAGAACCATCACTTTTGACTTTGACTCATCTAAAATCAGATACTTATTATGAGAATAGGATCCAAGTCCTCTTAACAGCACATGCAACCCAAATGTCATATTGGCATCACCTTTTTCTTCAGTTTTGGTACATATCAATCCTACTTCTCATGGCTCCATTGAGCCCCAAACACACTCTCAAGCAAGTGAACAAAAATGGGATGGAAGGGACTATGGAGTGTTCCTCAATTATTTTTAAACCTAAATTTAAGTCATAGTCTCCACTTATTTTATTATTCTCTACCTTACTTAACTTGATTACTAAACACCAAGTCAGTTTGCATCTGTGCTTTCCTCATTACCGTTGCTGCACCCACTCATTACATAAAGTAATTGTCCGTTTCTTGGGAAATAGCAGGAGTTTGACATTATTTCAAGGTTTCAAGGCACTTCCACAATTTCCTCATTAACTGCTTTCTGTGGCTCTTGGGCAAAGAACCACATAATTAAATATGAATTTCCTTTCTTTTTAGGGCTGCCAATTTTGCCATTTTCAGTCTCACTGGTCTCCTACTCTTTAGTGCACCTGTGGTTAATTGATTTGTAAGTTTGCATGTTCATCTTCTATCAGGTCCTGTATCAAGGCTATTTGATGGGAGTCCACAGAAATTGGCTCCAGCCCTCAAGGCAAAGCTTAGGAGATATGGCTCAACAACCACCTTTTCCACTCATTGCTGGGAACTTTCAACCCATTGCTCACCAACAACCAGGCTCAATATTGACTCCCTGAGAGACCCTCCAAGGATGCTTTTTCACTGCAACAATTCTTTGCATCTTGATTACTTAACATTTTCTGTATTATATTTCTGCATCTAACACAGAAATTGTTAAATTTTTCAGTGGGGTTTTTTTGTTTTCTATTCTTCTCATCCTTCACTGTCAGGATCCTTTCTCAGAGCAATTGTATTACAGATTGGGAGAAGAAAAAAAGAGAGAAGAGAAAAAGTTGTTGAAAAATAGGCAAATGTTGAAAAGTCATGTTTAGTTTGTGAAACTAGGATGATTTTATATGTAACTAAGTCTGAGTGTTTTGTTTTGTGAAAACAGATTTTAAGTTACTGTGTTATTCAGGGCACGGGAAAATGCTTGTGCTTCACTCTGAAACCATCTCTAAATCTCTACAGCATCCATGGCAACTGGATGCGACACCTGAGAACCAACAGAACTTACAGAATAACCGAGTTGGCAGGGACCTGCTAGTCCAATCCCATGCTGAAGCTGGAAAGCCCTACACCATTCCAGACAAATGGCTTTGCAAATTATTCTTAAAAACCTCCAGTGATGGAGCACCCAAAACCTCTGGAGCCAAACTCTCACAGTTACTGCTATGGAGCCACATATCACCTATTCTATACCTGTGCATTCCTTTTTTCTTGCCTAAGTGTAAAGCCATATTGTTCTCACCACTGAAATGCAGAGATAAGTAATAAAAAAATATGGCCCCCATGAGATCCTTTGTAACTGAAGCAGCAGGAAACATTCAATGTAACCAACACTCACAGCTTTTGGAACCCAGTTCTCCTTCTCAATTTCAGTTGATCTTCTGTGTCTCACAGGACTCCTAATAAGGAGTGGTAAGGCCACACTTGGACTTCTGCCTCCAGTTTTGGTCACCACAATGTAAAAAAAGATGTTGAGACTCTAGAAAGAGTACAGAGAAGAGCAACAAAGATGATCAGGGGACTGGAGGCTAAAACATATCAGGAACAGTTGCTGCAATTGGGGATGTCTAGTTTAACGAAGAAAAGGACGATGGGGGGACGTGATAGCAGTGTTCCAGTATCTCAGGGGCTGCCACAAAGAAGAGGGAGTCAAGCTATTTTCCAAAGCGCCGGAAGGCAGGACAAGAAGCAACGGGTGGAAACTAATCAAGGAGAGAAACAAGTTTAAGTTTTTGAAGAAACTGGACAGCCATTTGTCCGAAATGGTATAGGGTTTCCTACCTTGGACTAAATGACCTCCAAGGTCCCTTCCAACTTTATTATTATTATTATTATTATTATTATTATTATTATTAACCCTCAACTAAGACTGCAGGGATATTTCCAACTCTGCATATATTCTCTGTCTTCAGAGAAATAGAAATCACCTGGATGAGGGAGGAATACTTCAACGAAAGCCAAATCAGTCTGTGCTTCATCTGAGTGCCACAAAGACCCACCAGGAAGCAGAGCAGCTGTTTTCCCAAAACCCACCCATAAAAATGTGTCGCCCATGATAGCAGTGCCAACCCCAGATTTCCACCACTTACTTCTAAGGGCTCTTCCCATAGTCCAGCCATTGGTGAACCTGGCCGAGCATTATCATCGTGGACTGTAGAGTTTGGGCAGCAATTCAGTAAGGAATTTTCTTTGACCCATTCAGACACTGCAAGTCCTGAGCCTCCCATCTTTTATAGCCATAGCAGGTTAGATGTTCAACTAAGTCTGCTGCTCTTCTCAGGGCTTTTGTAACAGCTAACAAACAGGAGTGTTTCAATACAAGGAAGATGCACCGTTGCCTTAGGTAAGAACTATTTTGCAACAGTTCACTGAGGTGATATGATGCAATCATTACAACTCCATAAATAGAGAGCCAAGTCTGTCCAAGGAGTAAGATTTTGTCCAGAACCAGTCTCAGCATGAAGATCCTTTATCTGCTGTTCGCATTTCTTTTCCTTGCATTCCTGTCTGAACCAGGTAAGAAATAAAATTACTGATAATTTACAAAGGATTGGTAATTCACACCTTTTTAAATAAATACGAATATCACTGAAAGCAGGATAATCTCCAACATCTTTTTGTTTTACTTTACAGAAATAGCTTTGAACAGTATAGACAATTGACAACATGAGCCTCCAAAGATTTGAAAAATATGCCATTGATTTTTCTTTTGATTCACAATTCTTGAAAGAACTTTATTGGGGTTTTTGTTATTGTAGCTTATTTTTGTTGATTTGCTTCACTTTAACATTGGTTTACCAAATTCTCAGCTCAGTCAAGGTCTTCATCCAAAACACACAATGCAATTGGCCACTGTAACTCAGCAAGGATCCTTGGCAATATTGGAGAGAAATATATCACAGTAAGGTCTATTCTTCATATGAAATAGAATTATTTCTTCCCTCCTACATTAATAGATGTAGGCTTACCAGCTAATTCATCTTTGAGTCAGACTTCAAACCTGGGTTAATGGCTGATTTATTTGAGCTGCTGCAGGAGATCAGCAGAGATGGATCTGTGTGGTCAGAGAAAACTTGCTGTAGTCCTAGGAATCCTGGAATTCCTGGAAGGATGCTTCCATTCCCATCTTGGATGAACGGTTACAAAAGCTGATGGAGTTAGCAGAGATGGCTAAACTGACAGTTTTGATAAAAGAAAAGAATATAAGTACTTTTGTTTGTACTTGGATACTGCTTCTGGACTTTGTGCTATAATTTGCTATAATTTGTGCTATAATTCTATAATTTCACACAGTCTCATTCTTCCCTTTCGGTTTATTTATTTATTGTAGTGATTACTTTGCCACTGATGTCTTCCAGCTAATGTAGTTGCTTGGGCAGAAATAGTATAAAATCAGATTTAAGCTTTTCACTAAGATCTTGGAAAGAAGCAGAAAAAAAATTCTTAAGATTATTTTTTCTCAAGTTAAATACCATTTTGAATACCATTTAAATACAACTTAGAATAAGAATGACTTTGTCTGATGACTTAATATCAGCACAGCCTGGATCTTGATAAAGATAAATATGCCATTGATTTTTCTTTTGATTCACAATTCTTGAAATAACTTTACTGAGGTTTTGTTAGGGACCTCGGAGTCCTAGTAGACAATCACCTAAATATGAGCCAGCCGTGTGCTGCAGCTGTCAAAAAGGCCAACACAGTGCTAGGCTGCATTAACAGAGGGATAGAATCAAGATCAGGTGAAGTATTAATACCACTCTTCAATGCCTTGGTAAGGCCACACTTGGAATACTGCATCCAGTTTTGGTCACCACGATGTAAAAAAGGTGAGACTCTAGAAAGAGTAGCAGAGAGAGAGCAACAAAGATGATTAGGGGACTGGAGGCTAACATATAAGGAACAGTTGCTAGATTGGGTATGTCTAGTTAACGAAAGAAGGACAAGGGGGACATGATAGCGTTATTCCAATATCTCAGGGGCTGCATAAAGAAGAGGGAATTAAGCTATTTTCCAAGGTACCTGAAGGCAAGACAAGAAGCAATGGATTGAAACTAATCAAGGAGAGAAGCAACCTAGAACTAAGGAGAAACTTCCTGACAGTTAGAACAATTAACCAGTGGAACAACCTGCTTCCAGAAGCAGTGAATGCTCCAACACTGGAAGTTTTTAAGAAGAGACTGGACAGCCACTTGTCCGAAATGGTGTAGGGTTTCCTGCCCGAGCAGGGGGTTGGACTAGATGACCTCCAAGGTCCCTTCCAACATTACTACTACTACTACTACTACTACTACTATTACTATTACTATTACTATTATTATTATTATTATTGTAGCTTATTTTTTTTGGTACGCTTCACTTTAGTATTGGTTTACCAAATTCTCAGCCAAATATGTTTTGTTTGAATAAGGAGGCACAATGGAGAAACAGTTTGGTCTAGTGATTAGAGCAAA